CGGGAATATGATGAATGAATGTGCTTTCACCGATCTAGTAGAGGAAAAATTAAGTTCCGCTTTGCCTAGGTCTCATCTATAACCTTCCGAGGAGCAATAATGGACTTCCTTTCATCTATGACCTTGTTCGTTGTTCTCCTTGTTTTACTGAAAAAAAGAAAATGGGAGGGTCAAACATGTAGCGTCACACTCATTACAACAATTGGCTGCGTTCTTGAGTAACTCTAACGATAACACTAGTGGCAGGAAACGAAACCTTAATGAGGACACAACAGATGCGAATGTAAGGACACGACAACATCTAACATCTAGTAAATAGCGTTTGTTTCCTACCACTACTGTTATAGGTGTAAGTACTCAAGACCGCAGCCAAGACAGGATTACAGCTGGTACGTTTTATTGCCAGCAAGAATAAGACAATAATTAGTGTCTGGCTGCTATCGCATTTTTGCAAACGATATCAATCCTTTAGTCTGATAAGTATGCATATGATTAAAATGTATTTTAGCACTTTGCCAGACATAGACGGGAAAGCTATCTGCCTACACTACCAGCTGCTACGACTGCCAGGGTCTCTGTCAAGACTCCAGACAGAGCGAGACAGATTAGTACTGTTAACGGTCGTTTAGCAATGAATGTCAATATCCCCGACCCAAATCGGCAAGACAACGAGATCGTGGCCCAATTGTAAGGACGTTCGACACTGCTCGAAAAGGTCGCAAGTTCGAGACTCGGATGGGATGCCACTTGGGCCTGGGTATGACTGGTTGACGCAGGCTACTAAGCCAGAAATGGCAATTCCAATCTCCCTTGTCTTTGTCGGCAATACTATCTGCCAACACTACTAGCCATTAGGGCTTTCAGGGAAGGGAAATTTCCGATAGCGGTTTGGTGAACTATCCTTCCTAATTGTCACTTGCCAGGCGGTGCTTACTCGTGACGGATTTTATTTGAAAAACCAAATAAACGTGGCGCACAAACCAATGGCTAGTTTACGCTCGCAGCCAGTACACCCTAAGGATAAGGTTGTCTACTTCGATAGGGAAGAATTCATTTGCAAAAGCCCATGCGAATCTTGTGACGCGGTATATTGGGACCAAACAGAAAGATCCGTCTCCACACGCATCCGCCTGCACCAATTGGCAGTGAAGAGACGTGACTATTTGTCCGAAGTGGTCAAGCATTGCCTTAACTCAAGACACACCCTTGCATGGGAAAAAACACAATTCGTCGGAGTTTGTCCCCCCCAAAAAGGCTGAGAATGTATTGAGGCCATGCACTTAAATGGTTCATTCATTAACCGGCGTATCGAGTTGGCTGGAGTGTACACACACGGCAACGAAAAGTGAAAGAGACTACAGCCGACAAAGATGGACCAACATGAACCGCAATCAGCGCTCACACCGGATGACCCGGACTGACCCCGGACAGACTCAAATTACAGTTGCCAATTAGCCATCACGCCATTGCGACTGCTTATTTTATCTAAGGCGATGTGACGCAAATTACAACTGTCAATTAACGCCCACACTAGACGATTATGTAATTTTATAAGCACTTTGAGGTGTCAACTGTGTTTTGCACATTTTTCTTAATTCTGACGATGACCTGGGGATCCAGTGTCGAAAATTTACTGAATAAATTTTCTTATTTTCCCAAAGGACGTCCTTTCTTGAAATTACATTTATTGGTTTTCCTGATTACCAGTTATTGCAAGTTCTAATATATCCTATTGTTAAAGGGGAGTTGGTACTTAAATGTTAAACAATAGGTGACAGATGATCTCACCACAATTTTTCCATAGGCTTTCCACGCAAAGTAGGATGCATAGGCAGTGTCATTTCTGTCCAGCCAATGTAAATAATCTGCCAATTCTGCAGCCGACGAAAAATCGTCCACATGTATGAACGAATTTGGAGGCGCCAAAGCACAGTAATCATCTCGTGGAACACCCAGCACAACTGGGAGCATACCGAACCTAGGGTCAACGTTGGATTCGAGAAATAAGGCTGGCTGACAGGGGAACTTAGAAGGAAAAGTGTAATCGGAACTTACTAAGTCGACATAAAACGGACGATACGTGGATGGTATATTCACTATTGCTGATCCCATAAAAGACGCCAAAATTCTTTTTAATTTTATGACAGAGATGGAGCAGAACAGCAAATTGTCCTTCCTAGACGTCCTCATGTGCGGAGGAGTTGATAGTTCAATAAGACGCACTGTTTTCCACAAAACTACCTGGAAAGGCCAGTTACTACATTTCACCAGCTTCGTTCCATTGGAATCATAATCTGGTACATACACTATTCCAGAGTGCTAAGAATATTTGCTCCAGAGCGACAGTACTAGCAGAAATTGCTTGAATCAAAGAAGCCTTACTTAAACATGGCTATCCTTCATGTTTCATTCTAAAATATAGCATCTCTTGACGGCCAAAATCTAGGGAACAGTCAGTTCCGAATAGGCTAGTTTTTAATACCTTTACCCTTTCAGTGCGACAATATTTCAAATACAATCAAACGATGGCTAAGTTGCACCATAGATGAAACGTACAATGCAGCTGAACTTATGTTCCTCGCTCCCACGAAAAGCCTTCCAGTTAACCGGACAAACGATGCCACATCTTTGCACGCCACCCCAATTTGTGCCTATAAATTCACGTGCACTTGCGCATGGAAGCACATTGGGCGTATGCAAAGGCAATTGCCGACAAGGGCCGCCGCCTACATACGGCGGCCACAACTTGACCTACGTAAACAGTTGGAGCATGTGGTCAACCTTGCTTTGCCCTGGTGAAATCTGGCTCCTACATTTACACAGTCCCCTGCCCACCTTCTCGGCCTAATTCATTTTCATCTGTTTTTCTCCCCACCTCGTTTTAACTCGCTAACTTCAATAATTAGCCTTCGTTACTAGCCCTGTGAGCGTTCTTGAACCTTCTCTGTTAATTCACTTTTGTATTTCTCTCATTCGTTCATCTCACCATGCAATAGAATGGACGCAGTTGATGAGCTTTCCTGAAATTTTAAGGATCCAAATACAAATTTTCACCTGGGAAGCTTTGCTTTTAATTGTATACCTTAGCTAGCAGTGATACTTTACTCTACCTCAAACTTTTCGTATTTTGAGCAAAAAGGTACTTGCGTTGGCATTCTATAGGGTGGAAAAATACATAAACATTTAGCTTGTATAACTTATTAAGTATTTTGTTCTTGCACGACTTGGTGGTCTTCGTGAGCTTTGTTACAGGGACACCCAGGGCCAGAAACGCACGCGAGTTTAGTCATGCCTTAAGCCAAACGGCGTGCACTGCCAACGACCACTCACAAAGCGTCGGAAACTATCGATCAGCATACATACACGACGACTTTAATTGTACTTGTTACGCCTGTGATCATGCCTGACCTAGCCGGCATTGATTCTTTCACGGATGGTACCTCTTTATGCGTGACGATTGGTGGCAGCAGATCTGGTGAGCTCCACCCAGTGTCTTCTCCAGCGCCGGAGACCGAGTACCGAAGGTCCAAGAACTACTTCCCTGTCCTGACGACTGAGTCGAGTCAGGTTTTTGGCTGACCCCAACTTGGAC